AAGTTCTATGACTTTATGGCTAGTGACAAAGTTCTATGACTTTATGGCTAGTGACAAAGTTCTATGACTTTATGGCTAGTGACAAAGTTCTATGACTTTATGGCTAGTGACAAAGTTCTATGACTTTATGGCTAGTGACAAAGTTCTATGACTTTATGGCTAGTGACAAAGTTCTATGACTTTATGGCTAGTGACAAAGTTCTATGACTTTATGGCTAGTGACAAAGTTCTATGACTTTATGGCTAGTGACAAAGTTCTATGACTTTATGGCTAGTGACAAAGTTCTATGACTTTATGGCTAGTGACAAAGTTCTATGACTTTATGGCTAGTGACAAAGTTCTATGACTTCATGGCTAGTGACAAAGTTCTATGACTTTATGGCTAGTGACAAAGTTCTATGACTTTATGGCTAGTGACAAAGTTCTATGACTTTATGGCTAGTGACAAAGTTCTATGACTTTATGGCTAGTGACAAAGTTCTATGACTTTATGGCTAGTGACAAAGTTCTATGACTTTATGGCTAGTGACAAAGTTCTTTGACTTTATGGCTAGTGACAAAGTTCTTTGACTTTATGGCTAGTGACAAAGTTCTATGACTTTATGGCTAGTGACAAAGTTCTATGACTTTATGGCTAGTGACAAAGTTCTATGACTTTATGGCTAGTGACAAAGTTCTATGACTTTATGGCTAGTGACAAAGTTCTATGACTTTATGGCTAGTGACAAAGTTCTATGACTTTATGGCTAGTGACAAAGTTCTATGACTTTATGGCTAGTGACAAAGTTCTATGACTTTATGGCTAGTGACAAAGTTCTATGACTTTATGGCTAGTGACAAAGTTCTATGACTTTATGGCTAGTGACAAAGTTCTATGACTTTATGGCTAGTGACAAAGTTCTATGACTTTATGGCTAGTGACAAAGTTCTATGACTTTATGGCTAGTGACAAAGTTCTATGACTTTATGGCTAGTGACAAAGTTCTATGACTTTATGGCTAGTGACAAAGTTCTATGACTTTATGGCTTGTGACAAAGTTCTATGACTTTATGGCTAGTGACAAAGTTCTATGACTTTATGGCTAGTGACAAAGTTCTATGACTTTATGGCTTGTGACAAAGTTCTATGACTTTATGGCTAGTGACAAAGTTCTATGACTTTATGGCTTGTGACAAAGTTCTATGACTTTATGGCTAGTGACAAAGTTCTATGACTTTATGGCTAGTGACAAAGTTCTATGACTTTATGGCTAGTGACAAAGTTCTATGACTTTATGGCTAGTGACAAAGTTCTATGACTTTATGGCTAGTGACAAAGTTCTATGACTTTATGGCTAGTGACAAAGTTCTATGACTTATGGCTAGTGACAAAGTTCTATGACTTTATGGCTAGTGACAAAGTTCTATGACTTTATGGCTAGTGACAAAGTTCTATGACTTTATGGCTAGTGACAAAGTTCTATGACTTTATGGCTAGTGACAAAGTTCTATGACTTTATGGCTAGTGACAAAGTTCTATGACTTTATGGCTAGTGACAAAGTTCTATGACTTTATGGCTAGTGACAAAGTTCTATGACTTCATGGCTAGTGACAAAGTTCTATGACTTTATGGCTAGTGACAAAGTTCTATGACTTTATGGCTAGTGACAAAGTTCTATGACTTTATGGCTAGTGACAAAGTTCTATGACTTTATGGCTAGTGACAAAGTTCTATGACTTTATGGCTAGTGACAAAGTTCTATGACTTTATGGCTAGTGACAAAGTTCTATGACTTTATGGCTAGTGACAAAGTTCTATGACTTTATGGCTAGTGACAAAGTTCTATGACTTTATGGCTAGTGACAAAGTTCTATGACTTTATGGCTAGTGACAAAGTTCTATGACTTTATGGCTAGTGACAAAGTTCTATGACTTTATGGCTAGTGACAAAGTTCTATGACTTTATGGCTAGTGACAAAGTTCTATGACTTTATGGCTAGTGACAAAGTTATATGACTTTATGGCTAGTGACAAAGTTCTATGACTTTATGGCTAGTGACAAAGTTCTATGACTTTATGGCTTGTGACAAAGTTCTATGACTTTATGGCTAGTGACAAAGTTCTATGACTTTATGGCTAGTGACAAAGTTCTATGACTTTATGGCTAGTGACAAAGTTCTATGACTTTATGGCTAGTGACAAAGTTCTATGACTTTATGGCTAGTGACAAAGTTCTATGACTTTATGGCTAGTGACAAAGTTCTATGACTTTATGGCTAGTGACAAAGTTCTATGACTTTATGGCTAGTGACAAAGTTCTATGACTTTATGGCTTGTGACAAAGTTCTATGACTTTATGGCTAGTGACAAAGTTCTATGACTTTATGGCTAGTGACAAAGTTCTATGACTTTATGGCTAGTGACAAAGTTCTATGACTTTATGGCTAGTGACAAAGTTCTATGACTTTATGGCTAGTGACAAAGTTCTATGACTTTATGGCTAGTGACAAAGTTCTATGACTTTATGGCTAGTGACAAAGTTCTATGACTTTATGGCTAGTGACAAAGTTCTATGACTTTATGGCTTGTGACAAAGTTCTATGACTTTATGGCTAGTGACAAAGTTCTATGACTTTATGGCTAGTGACAAAGTTCTATGACTTTATGGCTAGTGACAAAGTTCTATGACTTTATGGCTAGTGACAAAGTTCTATGACTTTATGGCTAGTGACAAAGTTCTATGACTTTATGGCTAGTGACAAAGTTCTATGACTTTATGGCTAGTGACAAAGTTCTTTGACTTTATGGCTAGTGACAAAGTTCTTTGACTTTATGGCTAGTGACAAAGTTCTATGACTTTATGGCTAGTGACAAAGTTCTATGACTTTATGGCTAGTGACAAAGTTCTATGACTTTATGGCTAGTGACAAAGTTCTATGACTTTATGGCTAGTGACCTATGACTTTATGGCTAGTGACAAAGTTCTATGACTTTATGGCTAGTGACAAAGTTCTTTGACTTTATGGCTAGTGACAAAGTTCTATGACTTTATGGCTAGTGACAAAGTTCTATGACTTTATGGCTAGTGACAAAGTTCTATGACTTTATGGCTAGTGACAAAGTTATATGACTTTATGGCTAGTGACAAAGTTCTATGACTTTATGGCTAGTGACAAAGTTCTATGACTTTATGGCTAGTGACAAAGTTCTATGACTTTATGGCTAGTGACAAAGTTCTATGACTTTATGGCTAGTGACAAAGTTCTATGACTTTATGGCTAGTGACAAAGTTCTATGACTTTATGGCTAGTGACAAAGTTCTTTGACTTTATGGCTAGTGACAAAGTTCTTTGACTTTATGGCTAGTGACAAAGTTCTATGACTTTATGGCTAGTGACAAAGTTCTATGACTTTATGGCTAGTGACAAAGTTCTATGACTTTATGGCTAGTGACAAAGTTCTATGACTTTATGGCTAGTGACAAAGTTCTATGACTTGTGACAAAGTTCTATGACTTTATGGCTAGTGACCTATGACTTTATGGCTAGTGACAAAGTTCTATGACTTTATGGCTAGTGACAAAGTTCTATGACTTTATGGCTAGTGACAAAGTTCTATGACTTTATGGCTAGTGACAAAGTTCTATGACTTGTGACAAAGTTCTATGACTTTATGGCTAGTGACCTATGACTTTATGGCTAGTGACCTATGACTTTATGGCTAGTGACAAAGTTCTATGACTTTATGGCTAGTGACCTATGACTTTATGGCTTGTGACAAAGTTCTATGACTTTATGGCTAGTGACAAAGTTCTATGACTTTATGGCTAGTGACCTATGACTTTATGGCTAGTGACAAAGTTCTATGACTTTATGGCTAGTGACAAAGTTCTATGACTTTATGGCTTGTGACAAAGTTCTATGACTTTATGGCTAGTGACCTATGACTTTATGGCTTGTGACAAAGTTCTATGACTTTATGGCTAGTGACCTATGACTTTATGGCTAGTGACCTATGACTTTATGGCTAGTGACAAAGTTCTATGACTTTATGGCTAGTGACAAAGTTCTATGACTTTATGGCTTGTGACAAAGTTCTATGACTTTATGGCTAGTGACCTATGACTTTATGGCTTGTGACAAAGTTCTATGACTTTATGGCTAGTGACCTATGACTTTATGGCTAGTGACCTATGACTTTATGGCTTGTGACAAAGTTCTATGACTTTATGGCTAGTGACAAAGTTCTATGACTTTATGGCTTGTGACAAAGTTCTATGACTTTATGGCTAGTGACCTATGACTTTATGGCTAGTGACCTATGACTTTATGGCTTGTGACAAAGTTCTATGACTTTATGGCTTGTGACAAAGTTCTATGACTTTATGGCTAGTGACCTATGACTTTATGGCTAGTGACCTATGACTTTATGGCTAGTGACCTATGACTTTATGGCTAGTGACCTATGACTTTATCGCTAGTGACCTATGACTTTATGGCTAGTGACCTATGACTTTATGGCTAGTGACCTATGACTTTATGGCTAGTGACCTATGACTTTATGGCTAGTGACCTATGACTTTATGGCTTGTGACAAAGTTCTATGACTTTATGGCTAGTGACAAAGTTCTATGACTTTATGGCTTGTGACCTATGACTTTATGGCTAGTGACCTATGACTTTATGGCTAGTGACAAAGTTCTATGACTTTATGGCTAGTGACAAAGTTCTATGACTTTATGGCTTGTGACAAAGTTCTATGACTTTATGGCTAGTGACCTATGACTTTATGGCTAGTGACCTATAACTTTATGGCTTGTGACAAAGTTCTATGACTTTATGGCTTGTGACAAAGTTCTATGACTTTATGGCTAGTGACCTATGACTTTATGGCTAGTGACCTTTGACTTTATGGCTAGTGACCTATGACTTTATGGCTAGTGACCTATGACTTTATCGCTAGTGACCTATGACTTTATGGCTAGTGACCTATGACTTTATGGCTAGTGACCTATGACTTTATGGCTAGTGACCTATGACTTTATGGCTAGTGACCTATGACTTTATGGCTAGTGACCTATGACTTTATGGCTAGTGACCTATGACTTTATGGCTAGTGACCTATGACTTTATGGCTAGTGACCTATGACTTTATGGCTAGTGACCTATGACTTTATGGCTAGTGACCTATGACTTGATTGTTTCAGTACTGGATGAACGAGTACACTTCATCACTTGGTATTGGTGTCTTTCACTCTGGTGTGCAGGTTTATGGTACAGGTAGGGTCATTTTAACTATTGTTGGCTCCTTAAGTTTGCCTAATATTTCACATATATCCAGTTTGCCTAATGTTTCACATATAACCAGTTTGCCTGATATTTCACATATAACCAGTTTGCCTAATATTTCACATATAACCAGTTTGCCTGATATTTCACATATAACCAGTTTGCCTGATATTTCACATATAACCAGTTTGCCTGATATTTCACATATAACCAGTTTGCCTGATATTTCCCATATAACCAGTTTGCCTAATATTTCACATATAACCAGTTTGCCTAATGTTTCACATATAACCAGTTTGCCTGATATTTCACATATAACCAGTTTGCCTGATATTTCCCATATAACCAGTTTGCCTAATATTTCACATATAACCAGTTTGCCTAATGTTTCACATATAACCAGTTTGCCTGATATTTCACATATAACCAGTTTGCCTTCTTCTTCTTCTTCTTCGTTCTTAATTTTTGAATATGGTGGAGGATTCAGACAACAAGTCCAACTTCGTGGACAAACCGGACTGTGGTTTCCAGTTTGTCAGATGTCCCATATAATTTTTCCCTGAGTGGGGTGGGCTGGGGCAAGTGTCTGACTCTTGCCTGGCTATACAGAGTACATTCCTGATCCAGTTTGCCTGATATTTCCCATATAACCTGTTTGCTTAATATTTCACATATAACCAGTTTGCCTAATATTTCACATATAACCAGTTTGCCTAATATTTCACATATAACCAGTTTGCCTAATATTTCACATATAACCAGTTTGCCTGATATTTCACATATAACCAGTTTGCCTGAAATTTCACAGATAACCAGTTTGCCTAATATTTCACATATAACCAGTTTGCCTAATATTTCACATATAACCAGTTTGCCTAATGTTTGCCTAATGTTTGCCTAGAGTTTGCCTATGGAGGACATCCTTTACCCCTGTCAGGTGTTTTTGAGATAGAACCACGAGATGCTGACGACCTTGGGGAGCAATTCAAGTTCAAGTAGGTCACATGTCATCCATTCATTAATTGACTTGGTGTCATCCATTCACTAATTGACTTGGTGTCATCCATTCACTAATTGACTTGGTGTCATCCATTCACTAATTGACCTGATGTCATCCATTCATTAATTGACTAGGTGTCATCCATTCACTAATTGACTTGGTGTCATCCATTCACTAATTGACTTGGTGTCATCCATTCACTAATTGACTTGGTGTCATCCATTCACTAATTGACTTGGTGTCATCCATTCACTAATTGACTTGGTGTCATCCATTCACTAATTGACTTGGTGTCATCCATTCACTAATTGACTTGATGTCATCCATTCACTAATTGACTTGGTGTCATCCATTCACTAATTGACTTGGTGTCATCCATTCACTAATTGACTTGGTGTCATCCATTCACTAATCCACTTGGTATCATCCATTCACTAATTGACTTGATGTCATCCATTCACTAATTGACTTGATGTCATCCATTCACTAATCCACTTGGTATCATCCATTGGTTAGAGAGGCCATACCTATAGGCTACACAGACTTTACAGCCAATGATGTGAGAAAGATCACAGAAGAATTGGGAAAAGAATTTCGTGGAGATCAGTATCATTTGTTAAACAAAAATTGTAATCATTTTACATCATCCCTGGTTCAGGTAAGTCATCAGAGCCACTAGTCCAGCATTTTACAGCTTTTGTTGTCACCATCTCTCATGTCACCATCTCCTGTCATGTCACCATCTCCCCTTATGTCACCATCTCCCCTCATGTCACCATCTCCCCTCATGTCACCATCTCCCCTCATGTCACCATCTCTCATGTCACCATCTCCCCTCATGTCACCATCTCTCCTCATGTCATCATCTCCCCCCATGTCACCATCTCCTGTCATGTCACCATCTCCTGTCATGTCACCATCTCCCCCATGTCACCATCTCCCCTCATGTCACCATCTCCCCTCCTGTCACCATCTCCCCTCATGTCACCATCTCCCCTCATGTCACCATCTCCCCTCATGTCACCATCCTTCATGTCACCATCTCCCCCCATGTCACCATCTCCCCCCATGTCACCATCTCCCCCCATGTCACCATCTCCCCCCATGTCACCATCTCTCATGTCACCATCTCCCCCATGTCACCATTTGCCCTCATGTCACCATCTCCCCTCGTGTCACCATCTCCCCTCATGTCTGTCTGTAGATTCTGTGTGTTAAAGAGCTGCCTAGCTGGGTCAACCGCCTGGCCTATGTCAGCTCGTGTCACCATCTCCCCCATGTCACCATATCTCCCCATGTCACCATCTCCCCCATGTCACCATCTCTCCCCATGTCACCATCTCTCCCCATGTCACCATCTCTCCCCATGTCACCATCTCCCCCCATGTCACCATCTCCCCCCATGTCACCATCTCCCTTCATGTCCCTTCATGTCACCATCTCCCCTCATGTCCCCCCATGTCACCATCTCCCCCCATGTCACCATCTCCCCATGTCACCATCTCCCCTCATGTCACCATCTCCCCTCATGTCACCATCTCCCCCCATGTCACCATCTCCCCCCCATGTCACCATCTCTCCTCATGTCACCATTTCCCCTCATGTCACCATCTCCCCCCATGTCACCATCTCCTGTCATGTCACCATCTCTCCTCATGTCCCCCCATGTCACCATCTCTCATGTCACAATCTCCCCTCATGTCACCATCTCTCCTCATGTCACCATTTCCCCTCTTGTCACCATCTCCCCATGTCACCATCTCCCCCATGTCACCATCTCCCCCCATGTCACCATCTCCCCATGTCACCATCTCCCCTCATGTCACCATCTCCCCTCATGTCACCATCTCCTGTCATGTCACCATCTCCCCCCATGTCACCATCTCCCCACCCATGTCACCATCTCTCCTCATGTCACCATTTCCCCTCATGTCACCATTTCCCCTCATGTCACCATCTCCCCCCATGTCACCATCTCCTGTCATGTCACCATCTCTCCTCATGTCCCCCCATGTCACCATCTCTCATGTCACAATCTCCTCTCATGTCACCATCTCCTCATGTCACCATTTCCGCTCTTGTCACCATCTCCCCTCATGTCACCATCTCTCCTCATATCACCATCTCTCCTCATGTCCCCCCATATCACCATCTCTCATGTCACCATCTCTCCTCATGTCACCATCTCCCCCCAAGTCACAATCTCCCCTCATGTCACCATCTCCCCCCATGTCACCATCTCCCCTCATGTCACCATCTCCCCCATGTCACCATCTCCCCCCCATGTTACCATCTCCCCCCATGTCACCATCTCCCCCATGTCACCATCTCCCCCATGTCACCATCTCTCATGTCACCATCTCCCCTCATGTCACCATCTCCTGTCATGTCACCATCTCCCCCATGTCACCATCTCCACCCATGTCACCATCTCCCCTCATGTCACCATCTCCCCCCATGTCACCATCTCCCCCCATGTCACCATCTCTCCTCATGTCACCATTTCCCCTCTTGTCACCATCTCCCCATGTCACCATCTCCCCATCTCCCCCCATGTCACCATCTCCCCATGTCACCATCTCCCCCATGTCACCATCTCCCCCCATGTCACCATCTCCCCTCATGTCACCATCTCCCCTCATGTCACCATCTCCTGTCATGTCACCATCTCCCCCCCCCCCATGTCACCATCTCCCCCCATGTCACCATCTCTCCTCATGTCACCATTTCCCCTCATGTCACCATCTCCCCCCATGTCACCATCTCCTGTCATGTCACCATCTCCCCCATGTCACCATCTCCCCCCATGTCACCATCTCCCCCCATGTCACCATCTCCCCTCATGTCACCATCTCTCATGTCACCATCTCCCCCATGTCACCATCTCCCCCCATGTCACCATCTCCCCCATGTCACCATCTCCCCCATGTCACCATCTCCCCTCATGTCACCATCTCCTGTCATGTCACCATCTCCCCCCATGTCACCATCTCTCCTCATGTCACCATCTCCCCTCATGTCACCATCTCCTGTCATGTCACCATCCCCCCCCCCATGTCACCATCTCCCCCATGTCACCATCTCTCCTCATGTCACCATCTCTCCCCATGTCACCATCTCTCCTCATGTCACCATTTCCCCTCTTGTCACCATCTCCCCATGTCACCATCTCTCCTCATGTCACCATCTCTCCTCATGTCCCCCCATATCACTATCTCTCATGTCACCATCTCTCCTCATGTCCCCCCATATCACTATCTCTCATGTCACCATCTCTCCTCATGTCACCATCTCTCCTCATGTCACCATTTCCCCTCTTTTCACCATCTCCCCATGTCACCATCTCTCCTCATGTCACCATCTCTCCTCATGTCCCCCCATATCACCATCTCTCATGTCACCATCTCTCCTCATGTCACCATTTCCCCTCTTGTCACCATCTCTCCTCATGTCACCATCTCCCCCCATGTCACCATCTCCCCCCCCATGTCACCATCTCCCCCCCATGTCACCATCTCCCCTCATGTCACCATCTCTCATGTCACAATCTCCCCCATGTCACCATCTCCCCCCATGTCACCATCTCCCCCCATGTCACCATCTCCCCCCATGTCACCATCTCCCCCATGTCACCATCTCCCCCCATGTCACCACCTCCCCCATGTCACCATCTCCCCCCCCATGTCACCATCTCCCCATGTCACCATCTCCCCTCATGTCACCATCTCTCATGTCACCATCTCCCCCATGTCACCATCTCCCCATGTCACCATCTCCCCATGTCACCATCGCCCCTCATGTCATCATCTCTCATGTCACCATCTCCCCCATGTCACCATCTCCCCCCATGTCACCATCTCCCCTCATGTCACCATCTCCCCTCATGTCACCATCTCCCCCATGTCACCATCTCCCCTCATGTCACCATCTCCCCCATGTCACCATCTCCCCATGTCACCATCTCCCCTCATGTCACCATCTCTCATGTCACCATCTCCCCCATGTCACCATCTCCCCCCATGTCACCATCTCTCATGTCACCATCTCCCCCATGTCACCATCTCCCCCCATGTCACCATCTCCCCCCCATGTCACCATCTCCCCTCATGTCACCATCTCCCCTCATGTCACCATCTCCCCTCATGTAACCATCTCCCCTCATGTCACCATTTCCCCCCATGTCACCATTTCCCCCCATGTCACCATGTCCCCCCATGTCACCATCTCCCCCATGTCACTATCTCTCATGTCTGTCTGTAGATACTGTGTGGTAAAGAGCTGCCTAGCTGGGTCAACCGCCTGGCCTATGTCAGCTCGTGTATTCCATTTCTTGAGAGAGCCCTGCCTAAAGAGTGGCTGACACCCAACGCCCTGCAGAATGTTCTGGAGACTCCGGATGGAGCGGGGGAGGCTAGCAACAAGAGATGACTGCTCTTTTCATCTCATCTACCAAAGACAAATTGTGGGGATGCAGTTGACCAAATGGGGGGGGGGGGGGGAGTACAGTTGACCTGATAATTGGGATGTCAAGTTGACGCAATGGTGTGGGTGTGTTGAGCTATGGGGCATATGAGGACCATTATCTCATCTGTTTTTTTAATTGATTTTACAATGTTATAACAAACAATTTTTCCCTTGATTCCCCCCCCCCCCCCACATTTTCCTGTTGTTTTATTGCCTGACTGACTGATGTAAATATTGCCTGGATGTGGACATGGAAGTTCTGTAACCAGTTTTAAAATGTTGAAAATATTTTATGAACACCTTTCTAGTCTTTTGTTGTTTAGTGGTATGTGAGGGGCTCAGTAAGCCTGTAGGAGGGCCATGTCACCAGTTGCTTGTGAGAGGGCCATCTCACCAGTTGGTTGTGAGAGGGCCATGTCACCAGTTGGTTGTGAGAGGGCCATGTCACCAGTTGCTTGTGAGAGGGCCATCTCACCAGTTGGTTGTGAGAGGGCCATGTCACCAGTTGGTTGTGAGAGGGCCATGTCACTAGCTGGTTGTGAGAGGGCCATGTCACCAGATGCTTGTGAGAGGGCCATGTCACCAGTTGCTTGTGAGAGGGCCATGACACCAGTTGGTTGTGAGAGGGCCATGTCACCAGTTGCTTGTGAGAGGGCCATCTCACCAGTTGGTTGTGAGAGGGCCATGTCACCAGTTGCTTGTGAGAGGGCCATGTCACCAGTTGCTTGTGAGAGGGCCATGTCACCAGTTGCTTGTGAGAGGGCCATGTCACCAGTTGCTTGTGAGAGGGCCATGTCACCAGTTGGTTGTGAGAGGGCCATCTCACCAGTTGCTTGTGAGAGGGCCATGTCACCAGTTGCTTGTGAGAGGGCCATCTCACCAGTTGCTTGTGAGAGGGCCATGTCACCAGTTGCTTGTGAGAGGGCCATGTCACCAGTTGCTTGTGAGAGGGCCATGTCACCAGTTGCTTGTGAGAGGGCCATGTCACCAGTTGCTTGTGAGAGGGCCATGTCACCAGTTGGTTGTGAGAGGGCCATGTCACCAGTTGCTTGTGAGAGGGCCATGTCACCAGTTGCTTGTGAGAGGGCCATGTCACCAGTTGCTTGTGAGAGGGCCATGTCACCTGTTGCTTGTGAGAGGGCCATCTCACCAGTTGCTTGTGAGAGGGCCATGTCACCAGTTGCTTGTGAGAGGGCCATGTCACCAGTTGGTTGTGAGAGGGCCATGTCACCAGTTGCTTGTGAGAGGGCCATGTCACCAGTTGCTTGTGAGAGGGCCATGTCACCAGTTGCTTGTGAGAGGGCCATGTCACCAGTTGCTTGTGAGAGGGCCATGTCACCAGTTGCTTGTGAGAGGGCCATGTCACCAGTTGCTTGTGAGAGGGCCATGTCACCAGTTGGTTGTGAGAGGGCCATGTCACCAGTTGCTTGTGAGAGGGCCATGTCACCAGTTGGTTGTGAGAGGGCCATGTCACCAGTTGCTTGTGAGAGGGCCATCTCACCAGTTGCTTGTGAGAGGGCCATGTCACCAGTTGCTTGTGAGAGGGCCATGTCACCAGTTGGTTGTGAGAGGGCCATCTCACCAGTTGCTTGTGAGAGGGCCATGTCACCAGTTGCTTGTGAGAGGGCCATGTCACCAGTTGCTTGTGAGAGGGCCATGTCACCAGTTGCTTGTGAGAGGGCCATGTCACCAGTTGGTTGTGAGAGGGCCATGTCACCAGTTGCTTGTGAGAGGGCCATGTCACCAGTTGCTTGTGAGAGGGCCATGTCACCAGTTGCTTGTGAGAGGGCCATGTCACCAGTTGCTTGTGAGAGGGCCATGTCACCAGTTGCTTGTGAGAGGGCCATGTCACCAGTTGCTTGTGAGAGGGCCATGTCACCAGTTGGTTGTGAGAGGGCCATGTCACCAGTTGGTTGTGAGAGGGCCATGTCACCAGTTGCTTGTGAGAGGGCCATGTCACCAGTTGCTTGTGAGAGGGCCATGTCACCAGTTGCTTGTGAGAGGGCCATGTCACCAGTTGCTTGTGAGAGGGCCATGTCACCAGCTACACAAAACTTCAGGGACCAGTATTTGTGCGACCAGTATTTGTGCTACACAAAACTTCAGGGACCAGCAGGGACCAGTATTTGTGCTACACAAAACTTCAGGGACCAGTATTTGTGCTACACAAAACTTCAGGGACCAGTATTTGTGCTACACAAAACTTCAGGGACCAGCAGGGACCAGTATTTGTGCTACACAAAACTTCAGGGACCAGTATTTGTGCTACACAAAACTTAGGGACCAGAAGGGACCAGTATTTGTGCTACACAAAACTTCAGGGACCAGCAGGGACCAGTATTTGTGCTACACAAAACTTCAGGGACCAGTATTTGTGCTACACAAAACTTCAGGGACCAGCAGGGACCAGTATTTGTGCTACACAAAACTTCAGGGACCAGCAGGGACCAGTATTTGTGCTACACAAAACTTCAGGGACCAGTATTTGTGCTACACAAAACTTCAGGGACCAGCAGGGACCAGTATTTGTGCTACACAAAACTTCAGGGACCAGTATTTGTGCGACCAGTATTTGTGCTACACAAAACTTCAGGGACCAGCAGGGACCAGTATTTGTGCTACACAAAACTGCAGGGACCAGCAGGGACCAGTATTTGTGCTACACAAAACTTCAGGGACCAGTATTTGTGCTACACAAAACTTCAGGGACCAGTATTTGTGCTACACAAAACTTCAGGGACCAGCAGGGACCAGTATTTGTGCTACACAAAACTTCAGGGACCAGTATTTGTGCGACCAGTATTTGTGCTACACAAAACTTCAGGGACCAGCAGGGACCAGTATTTGTGCTACACAAAACTTCAGGGACCAGTATTTGTGCTACACAAAACTTCAGGGACCAGCAGGGACCAGTATTTGTGCTACACAAAACTGCAGGGACCAGCAGGGACCAGTATTTGTGCTACACAAAACTTCAGGGACCAGTATTTGTGCTACACAAAACTTCAGGGACCAGTATTTGTGCTACACAAAACTTCAGGGACCAGCAGGGACCAGTATTTGTGCTACACAAAACTTCAGGGACCAGCAGGGACCAGTATTTGTGCTACACAAAACGAAGCATACATCACCCTGTACAAACAACAAAACCATTTAAATGATTTAAACAAAAACAAAAAAAATTCATAAAGAACGTTTATGTAATAATGCACCAATACTAAAGAGGAGAAAAGAAATGACCCTACAATATGTAATGAACATGAGTTGATACGAATTCTTCCATCAGTTTTGTTTTTTAAGATTTTTACCTCTAGAGTATAGCAGCGGGGAAAAAAAATTCCTGAAAATAAAACAGAAATTTAATATTTTTAGAATCAATTTTATGAATTCTGCCTATCCAGAGAACCTCAAAATAATTTTTTTGAGTTTAACTTAAACTACATTTCTATTTATTTTCAGCAAACCGTATGTTATAAACTGAAGGTTGTTCTGTAACACTAACATTGATTGGCTGTACTGGAACTAGGGGTGTCAAACTGATTTTTTAAAACGGTTCCAGAGCTTTTTTGAAAGTTGTCAAGAACTCATGATTCTAAGATTGTTGGGAAAAAAAGTCACAGGAAAAAAAAAACAGGAAAAAAGTCACAAATATATATTTACATGGAATTTGTTAATATTTTTATGTATTAAATATTCAGAGAGTGCAAATTAACTTAGGGTTAATTAAATGTAATGTAATGTGTGCAGGTTGTATACGCATATAGTAATTTTTTAAATCCATCTAAAAATATTTAGTATGAAGTGTTTGATTGTAATTATGTTAAACATAATATTAATAGCATTTAATTGAATGCTCCAAAGGCCGCCATTTCCATCATGTTTTTTTTTTTTTAAATACCATCTGACTTACTGCTCTCAACTCATTGCAACAATAATTATGCTTAGTTCAACCACCTTTACTGACCACATTTATCACGCTCATTACATAACAAAGCTTGGTATCAAAACAGAAAGCCGACAAGGTTCAAAGGCTGTCATTGACGCATAACGTCAACAACACAAAATATATTCGGACAATGCCTACAGAGGTGAGGCCGACCATAAAATAGCCTACGGCAAAACATATGCAAAGCACAATGATGTGCCTAAATTTCTTTTATAATTAACTTCTCTAACAAAAGTTGAGGTTATTGTGTAAATTATGTTAGAGTATTTTTACTTACAATTGTTATAAACCATAATGCTTTTAACGTCTATAAATAATTTATGCTATAAAAAAATACAACCCACAACAATAAACTTACAAAATTTTACAATTCTTAACAAATAAATCAAAATATTTCTAAAAAGATTTTTGTGACTTTTTTTTCTGTGACTTTTTTTCCTAGCAAAAACTGTGACTTTTTTTCTGTGGTTTTTTTTTCCTGTGACTTTTTTCCGCTCAACGATTCTAAGATAGTGGGCACTAAATTTGTTCGTATATCTCAAGTAGTAAAAAAGATATGACGTTTTAAAACATTGGTTTTTAACTTCTTTTTTCCAACAGCCTTTATAAAAAGTACCATGTTTGAGAGGTTATATTAGTCCAAACTGGCGAAAAAGTGCGTTTTGGGGTAATTTTTTACGGTTGTGCTATAAGAATAAAGTTTAAGTCTTTGTCGAATTCTGGTATTTTTATATCTGTAGCACATTTTTGAATGTGTTTCATATTTGTTTGAAAAGTTTCAGTTACGTCAACAAATTTCACCGTTTTGCGAGTACCGATCGACCCCACACTGTTTCATTTGGTCGCGGCTAAGCATCGTAAAATCATAATCTTAATATTATTTTAAAGATTTTTTTGATGTATAAATTGAAAAAAATAACTTGTTTGTTTCATTTTAAAAAATCAGTTTTTAAATGACGATATATACACGAAAACAAACTAATTGTTTCAATTTTTACACCGATGTAAAGTTCACTTTTATAAGTGAGTAGCTCGCCGAACGGTTTTAAAGGTTGACGACCGATGATGCTAAACGGATTTTACCCTTGCTAGAGCCTTCAAACAAGTTGTAAGTACCATTTTTAGAGTTTCATTTCCATTTTGATAAATGAATTTTAAGATTGAATGTCATTTTGGTTTAATTAGTACAAGTTATTAATGTAAATTTGAACGCTACGAGTCCACTGTTTTAGCGTGTGAACTACGCTTGTAAACAGGGTGTGTTTAGATGTGAAGCTATTTAATTACGAAGTGACTACTCGGAAGATTTTTCTCCCCAACGTCTCCACTTAGTCGGCAAAAGATAGCTCTGCGCATGCGCAGTGACCTAGGGTTAGGGCTAGAAAAGTAGGAACAGAATGAAAAGTAACGAAGTTTACTGGCTGTCGTCCACACTCTCTGCTGCCACTCTGCGATTTGTTTTTCTTAACGGATGATTTTTTATCTTGATCGAGTTACGGTAAGCGGAATGAAGAAATTAAATAACAAACAAGTTAATAAAAAGTCTAGTGACAATTTAACCGCAATTTCCTTAATTAATTTTTTGTGACCGAACGAAAGGATATTTTTGAAAACTTTTTTCGGCAATATTGTTCTAAATTATGTCAGGAATCGATTGGTAAATGTTTCAAGTCGCTAAGTGGTCTGGTTCCCAAGATATGGGCCAAAAACTGCATTTTTTTCGAGGTTTTTTGGCTCTTCCGGGAAATCCAGGAAGGAATTCCGGGAATTTTTTGACCCACAATCATCCTCGGAACTTGCTTATCATATTTGCTATCTATATTGCTTCGTTGAGGAGGAGATACGACTTAAAGCTGCGGACACACATCCATCCATCCAGAAATAACGAATTAATAATCGCAATTGTCAGTATGGAAATTGCGCTAAAAAGTAGCGCAGAGCCTTTTACGGTCAAAGGGAGAAAAGAATGAATATTTTTGTTTTCGTATTGTCATGTAAGAGTTGTCTCTATTTTTTTCCCTTTAGATTTTAAACATTAAACTTCAGAAAAAAAAGAGCACTAAAGGATAATGAAATTTTCTTGTCCTGACAATATTCATTAGGTTACATGTTACAAAACTATACATTATTGTTTGGGGTGATACGGATATAAAATATATCCAATATAATTTTATAAGGCTTTATTAAATTACAGCCACTTGCGTTAATTTTTTAAAGAAAAATTACAAATGGTTGACAATATTTTTATTAAAAATCTATTTAAAAGATTTTTTTTTTAAAGATTTCAGGACGAAATTTTTTTTTTTTAATTTAAATTAGGAGATTTTTTTTAACAAGTAGGGATAGGAACTCTTGATAAACTAATAATATAAAAAAGATATATATTTAGTTACTCCCCATAGACCATAGAAATAGAACTGTTTATTGACCTACTTACCAGCCCTATTGCGGAAGATAATTAACGTACACGCCCTGTGGTGCTCGGGGCGAGAGTGTGGACAAACCAACGCCTCAATCCAAGAAATACCAACGCCTTCTTTGTTTACATTCAAATCACTCAGATTTTAGAAAACAAGGTCACGCGTCTAAAAATACACGATTGGTAATACATTTAGTTTGGCCAGATAAGTTACACTTCTAAAAAATAACGATTTTAGAACTTCTCGTGCGTTTTACTCAAAAAGTGAAGTCACACGTCTAAAAATACACGATTGGTAACGTATTGAAGCAATCCTAACTTTAAAACATTGGTTTACTGAACTGCACTTTTCATCCGATCGCCGTAAAACATTGGGAAGTTGACAACACTCATAGTTTAGGGAGGTCTCTGGGGGGGGGGGGGGGGGGAATAATTGTCATGGTTTGATCCAAATTAAACTCTGTTGATGTTAGGTGTCTGTTGTGTGTCAAAACTGTTTTTATATTCTACATGGCCATCTTTTAGTCTACAGCCTTTTCAACTGCCGTTTATCTTTCACCGCC